TGACATAAAATTTTGGGGTAAAAAAGTGCGTCTTATACACTGAAAAATATGGTACATGATGCAGATCCAGTTTATCACTAGCAGTGCAGCAGCAATTTCAGGACAGAGAAGGACATTCCAAGTAAAAGATCCATAGATGCAGCAAAATGGCAAAAATTTGATAGACCTAAAACACATGAAAGAACAACAGCTTTTCTCCAAGTTGTCTAGTACTTGGAAGAAAGTTACAAGGAACAAACAACTATCAGTGAACTTGTTACTAAACTGTTGGAGCCATATACTGCAAAATTCATGAAGACCAAAATTCAAGAACACTTTGGTGATAAAGTAATAATGACATCAACCAAGAAAAAAAAATGTGTCTGGTCAGGCTTAGAGACACAGCTAAGTCAATCCTATAAGCATTTCATCGACAACCAAAGCAATGCAGTGATGAAGACAAAAATTAAGAATTATAAAAGCTGCTGCAAAACCGATTGAGAATGCTGTCAAATTTATTGATCTACCAACTGATGAATATCGAGCAATAGATGACATAAAAAATGTAGATCATGCTATGAGGTATATTCCAAGCACACTGCAGCTACTACTGAGAACCATGTTTGCTGGTAAAGATGTTGATATAAAAATAGCATCAATTGGACAGGCTATCATGCAGGCAATAAGACCAAGAGTCATGCTAACACCACTTCACATTGGCCTCAGGATACAGTTATATCACCACTATAGGTCCAGGTTTCTGGTTGACAAACTTAACACTCATGGATTCTCCTGTTTATATGCTGCAGTTTCACATGGGACTAAAATAATAGGATGTACATCAGAACACTCTAATCAGTTCATTGCAGACAGTGTGGACCATAATGTAGCAACAATCAACAGTACTGGTACATTCCATGGTATGGACATTATTGAAGCTGTTACACCTCATATAAAATCCCAAAAACCTGTGCCACAAAGTACAATATCAGTCTAGTTCTCAATTTTGACCAGTCTTTCTACTGAAAAGCACTGACTATTGTCTTGTCACAACCAAGGAAGAGTAATCTAAAGCATATAGTCCTGAGGATTGTAGGCTTCCACATGAAAACGAGCTTCTTGGGTAGCATCAGACATCTGATGGCAGGCTCTGGCAGTCACATGTTAAGTGGTTAAGCTGTTTCTAGAGTAGTGTGATCACATGCTAGAAGATGCTGTACTAAACACAATCTTGATAGTCAATGCATACAACGTTCCAGTACCAACCAAGGACATGGAACAAACCAAAGATATATCAGAGTACTCTGAAAGAGAGTATGTATGTAATGAGACTGGACTTGATGTTACTAAAATACAAGTCTCCCAGCAGAACTGTATGATGAACTAACATCTACTGTGATATCCATTGAGAATGCATGTTCAGCTGAGGTGTTGCAATGAATAAAACAGAAATTGAATGATGAAAAGAAAGCCACGACTATGCAGACTTGGATACTTTGGGTGCAGTATATGAATATGGTGAACATCCTTCACAGGTTTTGGAAAGCAGAAAGGACAGGGAACTGGAGATTACACCTTCAATCTGTAAATGAGACGCTACTATCTTTTGCAGTATCTGGCCACACATTATATGCAAAATATGCTTGTATCTACCTATAAATGATGGTCAGTCTGCCAGAAACCCATCCAGAGGTGCACAAAAGGTTTGAAGAAGGATGCCATGTGGTGAAACTCAGTGAATGATATTGGGCAGGATGGTCAACAGATCTCATAATAGAGCAAGTATTGGTGAGAAGTGTGAAGGCATGTGGGGCCTTGAAATGAGAAAGAAGAATGACAAAAACACAGAGACTGGTGTGGTTTCTCTCCATGTCAGCTTGTGCCACAATTAATGATGCCATGCAGGAGCTGAGTGGTGTATCATATGAAACCAGCACCCAACACAAGGATGTATCAACTGCTAGATGGGCTGGAGATGTCAGTGACACCCTCCCACTGATAACATATCTAAAAGCCAGAGATCCATTTGTACTAAATTTGTCACTCTTTAACATTGTAAATGGGATGACAGCATAGGAAGGGGTTAATGTTGAGAGGTTGGAGGTGATAGGCACACAGATTCTTGAGTCTGTGGTTGGAAAAAGAGTGGATGAGTTCACATTCTGGAAAGCTCATGGACAAGCAGTTACCCTTGTTTCCAGATCAGTTGTCAAGATTCAACATGAGACTGTGCAAATAGATCCTCAGTTGTTATTTCAGAGTCTCATAACTGTTGGAGATTGTTGGAAAAATCTACCAGCCTTCACTGTATAGTCACCCCCCCCAGTATTGTTTGAGTCTTCCTCTCTCCCCTTTCAGGCAAACAAGGCAGCTCACGCTGATACTTTATGGAAGGCAGTAAAGCCTGACCAACAACAACCAATAGAAAATGTCCAGTATATTCTTGATGCTGGTGCTTTGCTTCATTGTCTTCCATGGTCTAGAGGCTTGACATTTGACAGTATGGTATGGCTGCAATCATCTTTGATGGTTACAAAGAGGGTCCCACAACAAAAAATGCTACCTACCTAAGAAGAACAGGTTCTTGTGCAGGTGTGACAGTGCACTTCACAGGGAGAATAGTAATCCAGTCAAAGAAGGAGAAATTCTTGAACAACAAAACAAACAAACACTACTTCATCCATCATCTCAGTGACAAGTTATGCAGAGCCGTTTGTAGTACTGATCATGTAAGACATTATTCTGACTTATTAATTGTGCAAACAGCCATGAAATCTACTAGAAGCAAAGACATCGTTGTTGTTGGTGATGATACAGACTTGTTGGTACTTTTGCTTTATTATGTTGAGATGGATGGCCTGAGCTGTACCTGGCTCCAGAGCCCAAGCAAACTTCTAAAACAATCCAAGCAGTACCTGGGTGTCATTATTAGTGACAATGTGTTATTCATACACGTAATCCTGGGATGTGACACACAACCTCTCACCTGTTTGGGTTAAGACAAGGTATTGCTGTGAAGAAGATAATGTCCAATCCCCAGTTCTATCAGCAGGCTAAGGTGTTTATATGAGGGAGACACAGCAGAAGGATTGGATGCATTATAATACAAGAGTCTGTTAGAAGGTCTTTAAAATTACATCTTATGTTGAAGCCCAAACTCTACCACCAGCATCAGTTGTTGCTAGGTGCCACAGCCTCCACATGTTTCATCAAATTATGAAGTGGCAGGGGAACTCTACCACCTTGAAGCCAGATGAGTGGGGGGTGGTACCTGATGAATGGAAAATACCTGCTGATTCAGACTGATCAACCTGCAACACCATCAAAACTGCTCCTGCAAGAAAGACTGCAACAGTAGAAGGTGGTGTACCTGTCAGAAATATGGATTGCCTTGCACTGCTATCTAGAGAGAATAATATGGGATAAGTTGTACAAATATACAGATACCAGACTTACGTAATGATCATGATCAGGGGGACGGATGTTTAGAGTAGGACAATGCATACTGTTGAACTTAACCCCAGTGCTGCTTGATATACATTTAAATATTTTGCATACTTACCAAAAGATTATTTTATAACAGTTTGTTATTTAATGGACACAGAGACTGTAAAAAGTATTTTGTTAAAAGCTAAATAACAAAATTGTGTTTGAGCTGGAACATGTTTATTGTGCAACAATTAGTAGAACATTCACTTTGTTGTGACTATCTTGTTATTACTTTTTAGTAATAAATAAGTGTGTATAAAACCTGTTTCAAATACTTCATTCAAGTAATTGAATTCAAGGTATCCCCCACAATCCTTCACTCATTTTTGAATTTCACATGTTTCTGTGTAATTTACAGGTACAAATCTGATTATATACCTAAATTTGTCATCTATATTGGATTTATGCAAATTACCTTGTTACCCATGGATAGTGTTACATGCCCCCTATACACTTTAATCTTCAGAAATGCCATTTAAGTTCCCCAATTTAAAGAAAACTGCAATATGTAAGCAATTTCGTTGTAACAGATTAGTATTTGATAGTTATATTGGAATTATGCTAATGAACCTTTCATCCAATTAAATTCATATGGTTTCCATGTGATTTTCAATATCTACAAACACCATTTTAGAATCTTAAATTGTGAAAATATGTCATCTAGAAGCAAATATATTACAATATATAGAATATTTGGTAGCCATATTGGTTTTATGTAAATTAGGCATATTTCCAATGCATGTAGCTCTTAGGACTTTTAGTATGTTGTTCAGGGTACCTCAAAGAAATGCACTGTGGTGAAATAAATTTTGTTGCAATCTGTTCTTTTTTGAACCTTAATTTGCCTAGACTATGTGTAATTCGTCTCTATGTGTTAATAAATAGTTCCCAGAAATACTTATTTTTTATTGTTATTAAGCTAGTGGAGGTTATTGGGTATGGAACAAGATCATCACAATATTATGTTACATCAGTTTCAGTAGACAAAGAACAAACTCTGTTCTACAAGTATAAATACCAATATATTATGACTAGTGTACTGCTCATTGTCACTAGATGTCTGTGGTTAAACACTACTCTTCAACAACAAGTCACCATGATTTTTTTTAACAGATTCAGGAGACTGAATTAAAACGTTTTTCTGCATAACAACTGCATTACTGAGTTTTCATTGATCAAAGCAACTAATCTACTTCCAATTTACTCACCATTTCCACCTATCAGTTGCAACTCAGGATAGTTTGTCTTAATGTGATGGATCATATCCACTTGGTAGATCGAGTTACCTTGAGAAGAGTCCTATAAGAAACCTTAGTAATATTTTTTCTTTCCACAGATGGATTTCCTCAAAGAAAAGAAGACTTTGTGCATCAAAATAGTAGTTATCAGTAGCTTATTTTACACAAAAATTAACATCTATTTTTTACAAATGCATTTTCTTTTTCTTTTTCTTAAAACCAAATCATTTACCTTAACTCATCTAAGCCCCATATAAACTCACCAAATGTATGACAACCTTTCCTGCTGAGACCAACTAATTACAGACTTCTTTATGCTACACATCATTTACTTGTACTCATCTAAGCCCCATATAAACTCACCAAAATTATGACAACCCTTTCCTGCTAAAGTCAGAACTAATCAGGCTTCCTTACAACCACAATACATTCTTATACCACTATTCATTGACAAAAGAGATTCTTTCCAAAGGAACCTACTAAAATTATGACATCTACTCCAGCTTGAACTAGTTTATCTAAGCGTTCCTTATCATCATCTCGTGTGCCAATAGCAGCTCCAACTAAAAGCTGTTTATTGGCATCTTTTGATGCTAAAGGATAACTACGACTTTTCTTCAAATCAGTTCGAGCAATGATAGATTCCAGTTCCCCCTTTTCATTCACAACTGGAAGTTTTCCTGTAAGTACACATATATTTTAGAAAACATATTCTCAAATTATTAATTTTTAGTTATCACACAGCAATATACAATCAGAAACTATACAAAATATTTTGAAAAACAGAAAAAAAGTCTTCAGACAGTAGAAATTAAGAAATATAAAAAACTTAAAAGTAATTTACATTAAGGACTGTTTCACAAATATAATTAAAAAAAGTACAGAAAATCATGACAACCAACGTGCATGAAAAAGTTCAATATATAATCCTCTTACTCAGTTTTGTATATTTAGCTCAAAATTAACACCAAGGTCTAAACATTCAGAGTATAATAAACCACTTCATTCGCCATCACAGCTTAATTTAGAATATACTTAATTTTATAGCCTGTACTAAGAACTTGATTCTTATTAAACTGCTCATATGCAAGATTTGTGCTTAACCAAATTTCAAGAATACGCTGCCTTTTTTGGTCTGCTGTAAAATTTCATTTGCCTCCTTCAGAGTGATTCCTGATGGTACAACTACCAAGTCTTCTTTCTTTGTCATAACCTGGAGAATGTAAAAATTTGTAATTCAAATGTTTCAAAGTCATGATCAGTAGGTGAAATAACATCAAAATAGAGGTATGTAACAGATAATTTGCTGGGTGAATTGGTAGTTAGTATTTCAATGAAACTTTGTGATCAACAAAATGTCGTCTTGCACCAATCCCCGAAGCATAGTCCTTTCAAAATATCCATTTCATTAATGCCTTATTGACTAATCTCTAACCAATAAGGTTTTTGTATGAGAGAATAAACTATAAAATTAAGGCATTTCAATCTGAGATATTCTGAAAATCATCCAAAAACTGCTGTCTAGATAATATAAAAAACATAATCAAAATGACTATCTTAGTGATTTTGTTGATAGATTAAGAATACTAACTACAAAATAAATGCTATTAACCAAGGGATTTTATTAATAAATTCAAAATGTCATCAGTCATTCTTTTAATTAGCTAGCAAGGAGGTATAACTCAGTTTGTTTTATACATAAACCCTAAATATCACCAGTCCATACTTTCAACAAATAAGATGTACATTTTACCGTATTTTTCGGAATATAAGACGTACCGGTGTATAAGACGCACCCTTATTTTGAAAACAAAGTTTTGGGGGAAAAAAAGCTACAGTTGCATTTGAAA